CAATGTTTTAAAACATGATTTAAAACAATTCAAAAATCATTAAAAATCATTAAAAAACGTTTTTTTGCCATCCCTACCCACCTGATTCAAAATTACCCATTATCGAAAAGATCTTTTTTTAAAAAAAAACTTAATTGGGTTAGCCTCAATTATGCTTATAATGAAAATTACACCGATATGCATGCACTCCTTTGCCTTTGTAAAACATGACTGAAAAAAAAAATTACTGTACTGATCTAAACTGACAATAACGATAAAGATAATTTTTTAAATTTTTGTGAATTAGTTCTGTAGGATATTCTATAGGGATAGTGAAAAATGTCAATTAGTTCAGTTATTAAAGATATTAAAGGACGTCTTGATGGAAAAACTGCTATAATTACTGGTGCCGGAAGGTAAATAAATAAATAAACTTGTTATATTCAATTAATACGTATATATATTTTATTATATTCAATTAATATATATATTTTATATATTCATTAATAATGTTTTTTAATTACTTAAATCCAGCGGAATCGGTTACGAAACTGCTATTCTATTTGCAAGAGAAGGTGCCAATGTTGTTGTCGCTGATAGTGATCTTAAGGCGGCTGAAGCTTGTGTGGAAAGGATAAAGGAAAAATTCCCAATTCATGTCCGAAAACATACTCTTGCTTATAAAGTGGATGTTACTAAAGAAGAGGAAGTAAAGAAATTGGTAGAAGCTACTTTGAAAGAATTTGGTATGCTTTTATTATTTATAAACATTTAACATCATAAAAAAATAAAATAAAATAATAAATATAAATATATATCTAGGGAAACTTGATATAATGTTCAATAATGCAGATATAATTCATCCTCATGATGATAATTGTTTAAACACTGATGAGAAAGTCTGGTAATATATATTTATTTTTTTAATTAATTAAGAACGCTAACGACTCGATTCAAGTTGATGACCTGGGTATTAAGTCAACAATTATATTATTTAATTATTAAGAATCTAATTGTTAAATTAAATCGGTAATCGAGATAAATGTATATTAGTAAATTACTTTTTCCAAAAATCGGGAGATAATAAGTACATAATTGGGTAAGAACAATGGTAAGCTCATGTGATTGGCTGAAAGTCGACTTTTACTAGTCAAAGTCAGTCGAGCTGAGTCGTTAGCATTCTTATAATGATAATGAATTCCTTGTTGGTTATCTCTTGATAATCAGTTTTATAAATAATTCTACTTTAAAGGGATGTTACAATGAATACGAACGTCAAGGGTGTTTGGTTTGGTTGTAAATATGCTATTGAAGCAATGCGAAGAAATTCTAATAGTAAAGGAAGTATTATTAACTTGGCGAGTTATACCGGTTTCTTGGGATCAGCAACTCCTCAAATATCTTGTAAGTATCAATAAAAAATTATTAGGTTTTTCTTCAAATAAATTTTGATATATTCTTTACTTCTTTGTAGATACTGCTTCCAAGGGTGCTGTTATTGCTTTGAGGTATGTCTTCACTTAAATTGATTTTACTAGTGTAGGGTTGGGTACGTGTTCATAGGCATGCCTCCCCTTTTGTAAATATTCTTTCAAAATCTTTGTGTGGTATGCAACTTTCTAAATATTTTATAAAAATTTTTTAATCTTTAAATTGCATGTAAAATAAACGTGGGAAATATTTGAAAAAGTTGCATACATACCAAAATTTTTTAAGAATACTTTTGGAAAGACTCTGTGCTATGGCGTTGTCTATAACCACATTTGAGGTATATAATATAAATTACGTTTAAAAGGCTTCCTAATTTGGGAAGAGGGGTTTAGTCCACGCAGTACGGTACATTAGCATTAGCCAATTATTATATCAAGGTGGTCATGCCCAAAAATTTCCCGTGCCCAGCTCTACTTTAGCACAATTTTACTTTTTTACAATTTTTTATATGATTATTACTTAATTAAAGCCGTGAATTAGCCGTTACTCATGCTCGTGAAAACATTCGTGTCAATACATTATGTCCTGGACCATTACGTACTCCAGAATTGATGAATTTACTTAATACTGATGATAAAAAGAACAGACGTCTTTGTCATGTGCCAATTGGACGATTCGGTAATTCTTATTACCATATTTTATTCTTTAGATCATTATTTCTTTTACTTATAAATTAAAAATAAAATAGGTGAACCAATTGAAACTGCCCAGGCAGCCGTATTCTTGGCATCAGATGAATCATCATATATTACAGGAACTGAAATAAAGATTGATGGAGGTCTCACCGCTGCATATGTGGTTAGTACATTGTTTGTTTTTTTTAATTGTTTTTCTCTTATATTTAAAATTAATTCCATGTCCTCTTACCAAGACTTCCGAGGATGCTTGTACGAGCTTACCGCCAAAGAACTATTTCAAAACTGTAGAAAAGAAATAAATTTATTTAATAACGTAAACACGCTCACATTAGTGTTGTATTTATTTATCAAATTAGTTAACGTACTATATACTGTAAGTTTTATATGTAAATTTAACATATAATATAGGTGATATCTACTTTATATCAATTGATTATTTATTAAGGCGTCATCTATGCTTTATTTTATTCCTTAAATTATTATAATTGTTTATTTAAAAATAAATATTATTAAGATACAGTATATTATTATAAATTATTAACCAGAATTTTTGTAATTATAAAATTTAGTTCTGATATTGTGTAATAATGCAATTGTTTTAATTATAAAATCTAGTTTACAACCATGACATTAGGTGTTACTGTAAATCCTAAAGTCTCCTAATTTAAATTTAAAAATTTACTGCTTACTAAAAACCTATATGATTTAAATAATGCATGTTGACAAAGTCAACGGATCGAAAAGAAAGGGAAGAACTGGTTAGGGGTTATACGCCATGTGCCACAACCCCTGCCGGGATGAAAGGCATGGATCGGGATCAAAGAACGAATCAGTCAAATTTCATGAATCGACACGCAACTAGAGATACGTAATAGAAAAGCCACTGACCACGACCGACATATAAATAACTTTCGGCAAACAAATTTCTCAACCCAACCTTTCCCACTACACACTGCTGTCTCTTGATTCTGCCATTTTCCTATTTAACAACTGGCCTGCTTCGAGCAGGCGGGAAACTACTGGTTGATGCTGTTTCTCGCTTGTTCTATTGTTACGATGATCCCTGATTTTAGGTAGCGCTCCCACAAAAAATTGTTCATCCCCAGTAATTTTGACCAATCAAAATTTAAGATCAGGTGTGTTTTGTTTTCTAAGTAAAAAGTTACGCGTAAAATGAAAACCAAGAAACCGTGTTATAATTAGGGTTAGGATTAGAACAATATAATTCTTATTAGCAAAACATCACAAGGAACATTTTTAATTAGGCCG